AGTGACACAGTGTTATTTTGTTTTTTAATAATGCCCCCAAAAGCCTCTGATCTGAACGTTTGAGTTATATGAAATAACTTCTCTGCCATCCTCCCCTTCTAGGGAAAGGGGTCAGCAGAAATGGACACATTTAGCAGAGAGCAAAGAAAGCTAGTAGTTTTTCATGCTTTGATCAGTGAGATCTGATATTCACCATCTGTTGCAAATAACCCAGGAATTAAAACTCTGAGAACTAAATAAGCATGTTGTTTAGATTTTTATTCCTAACTTAAAGTGTATAGGCTCCTTCAGTCCGTATTTTCAGGACATTGTTCTTTTTTTCATGCTGCTTTTTACTTCTTTGCCACCTTCTCATCATGCTCATTGCTGTTTGTATCTGCCAGGCTCCAAGACACTCCCACCTCCAAGACATTGTTCCTTTCCGATCTGTCAGCTGCAGTAATCACACGCAAGTTTGTTTATTTAACAGGGACTTACTGAGCCCTCTCTGTGCCTGCTACCGCTTTAGGCACTGGGGATACTGCAGCTGCCCTCATAGAAATGACATTTTCACAGCCCCTGGGTGGCTCAAAGTGTCCGACTTTGGCTCAGGTCATGATCACGCAGTTTGTGGGTTCGAGCTCTGCATCGGGCTCTGTGCTGACAGCTCAGAGCCTGGAGCCTGCTTCAGAGTCTGTCTCCCTCGCTCTCTGCCCCTCCCCCACTCACGCTGGCTCTCTTTCTCTTTCAAAAGTAAACATTAAAAATTTTTTAAAAATAAATGACATTTTCCCGAGGAAGACCATAACAATGTATATGATAAATAAAGCAAATAGAATGAGGGGAGAAAAGAACAAGTTACAGCTATTTTTACTTCAGCTGCCTATAGGCATAGCTCCACTTTTAATCCTAATCAGAATGCTTCCATTTCTAGTATTTCCTCTCATCCCCCTCCTGTCTTTTCACCTCGCCAGCTCTACTGGACCTGATCTGTGATTGCAGTGTGATCTACAGTCCACCAGGGGCTCCTTATTTTCGAAGTCCCCTTGCCTTCTAGTTTGACGTATTTTTCTGCCCCTTGTATTCTAACTCTCTTGAACTGTTACTGGCCATTTCACCTATGCTCATAAATATCCTTCCTTATCTTCGTTTGCAGAATGATTACTGATTAAGCACTGTGCTCTTTATAACTTCTCTTCCTGCCTCTAAGCTCCAATTCTTGTATTGCCAGAACAGTGGTTATTCCCTCAACTGTGAAACTTCACTGTCTTACATGGTTTTATGATGTCCTCCAAGTAACTTAATATTGGTGTTTGAAGTCTTCTAAGATTTGAGTGCAGACTGTCTTTGTTTCCCATTTCCTGTCATAACCTTTTACTGCATTCAAATTAGAGTCTTTCCTTATCCCCCTATACTTTTTCATCTTGGTTTTGTCTAGAGTTTCTGGTCAAAAATCTACCCCATTTTCAAGACCCAACTAAATGCCATCTTCATAAAGCATATTTTTCACAACTTCTATCCTGGTTTCTTCCCTAAATAATCTTGTACCCCTAAACTGACATATTCTGTACATTTATCCTATTGACTTAACAGATTCCTTGGGACCAAGAGGAACATGTTGAGTACTGTGGTTTAGAAGATGAAATGAGTCATGGGGACTTGACATCTCAAGAGTACTTGTTAGTCTTATTAAATCTAGAAAATGTACATCTTTTTTACAAAGGGCTTAGTAGCTTGTCATAATTAAGATTTATGTAATAATAGCCCTGTGTCTTGAAAAAAGGCCTCACAACTGATTTTTAATACTGAAAAACCATTAATTTTGTGAAAATTCTTTCATCAGTATGTCAAACTGTTTTTTTGTTTTTTGTTTTTTTTTTAAGGTAATTCGAGGAAATAGTATCATCATGTTAGAAGCCTTGGAACGAGTATAAACAATGGGTGTGTTCACCAGAAGAAACCAACTGCTTCCACGTGTCCCCTTCATAGCACCTGTTTTACTACAATATAAAAATCAGGTCATGCATTTTCATATTGAACTTTTTTGTTAAATAAACTTTTTTAATAGTCAAAAAATGCTTTCTCAGACATTCCGAACATGGAAAATTGAATGTTAGCTTTTACTCTAGTTTTTTCTAACACAAACTGTTCCTGGTTGAGACTGATTTATTCCAAAGCTTTTATGCATTAATATTGAAGAATCTGATTAAATGTGAAGCATGGCTAGGATGGCTTTTTTTCATCTTTTAATGGAAAGATAAAGAACCTGCAAACGTGAGCAGATTTCTTCTGAAACGTTAACTGTAATTTTCAACTCTTGTAGTAGTTTTGATGTACTCTTGACTTTTCCAAGTACATCTGTATTCCAGGTATACTGCAATTGAAGTAAAACACAGGAAGTAACGATATAGTTGTTTATTTTGAACATAAACAGGGAAGATTTTTTGAATACAAGAATAGAAATAGAACTCTAGAGAAAAACATTCCAGTGTTTTGTGGTTCTTTGTAGAATATAAAGAATAGAAATAATGCTGCCCATAATATATTCATCTAGGTCATAAATTTTATGGCGCACAAACTCAGATGAAAAGATACATTACAGATGGTAATATCATAAACCTAACTTCAAGAAACCTACCAAGCAGATGCTGTACTTTTTGTGATCTGGTAAAGCCTACAAATCTTAAATCACTTTAACACTGTATAAAATGTATATTCGGGTGAGTATGTAAGATATTTGCAAACCACAACATAATGGATGGCTTATATGTATCTCTAAAATGTTTCTTCTGGCTTATAAAAAAATGTTTACAACAAAATAGCTAGAGCGATCAAACCAACTTAATCCCAGTAAGGGGAATTGATGTCAAGTCTAGTACATTTTTACTCTTCTCTGGCAGCTTTTTAAATTTTCACTGATATGGACAGGGATTTTTTGCAACCACATAGAGCTAAATTATAGAACTGGTTGTACTAAGCATGCTTCCTAGACCAAGAGCATCACGTAGGAACTTAACAGAGATGCATATTTTCATCTTATGCTTGATATGTTGATAATATGTTTTGCTCTTGGAGGAAGCAATTTCCAGTGCCCTTTTGGAAAACAATCAGATACAACAGCAACATTTTAAATTGGGGTTCTGGTAAGTAAATACAGATATCACAAAACAAGTCTGTGAGTAATACAAATTAACTATTACCAGTTTTTATTCACCAATCTTTAGCATATATATAACACAATATTACATTCTCTACAATATTGTCTTCATTAAAACCACAGGGGAAAAAAATGTGACTGCGTCTTAACAAGTAAAATTTTTAAAAAGCTGACCTTTTGACAGAGCATAGATTTAATCACCGCCTTTACATCAAATATATCTTGGCAGTTTTATCAGCATATTAATATTCACAATTATAGTAGAGACAAAATCATTTTAAGTAAGAATATCATTTTGCTGAATATCTACTGCCATAATCTGGTGATGGACTTTTTTGTCTCAACGATACTTATTCTGTTATAGTTACTTTTATTTATTTATTTTTTTTTAATTTTTTTTTTCAACGTTTATTTATTTTTGGGACAGAGAGAGACAGAGCATGAACGGGGGAGGAGCAGAGAGAGAGGGAGACACAGAATAGGAAACAGGCTCCAGGCTCTGAGCCATCAGCCCAGAGCCTGACGTGGGGCTCGAACTCCCGGACCGTGAGATCGTGACCTGGCTGAAGTCGGACGCTTAACCGACTGCGCCACCCAGGCGCCCCTATAGTTACTTTTAGAATTCACAAGCTTTTACTTGTTTTGTCCTACTAGTGACTAGAGAGACAGCCATTGATGATCTTTGTATGATAGATGTAGAACTGGTTCTTAAGTTTGGTTGCATATTAGAATCATTTGAGAAGCTTTAAACTCTTACAGATTATTCCAGTGTGCAGCCAAAGTTGAGAACTGCCTTAAAAACAAGATTTCAGCAACCGGTTTCTCACCCCAAATGCTACAGTAGTTTTAGAAGCATTTAAGTTTGAACATAATGCTGGATTTGATTGTGGTGTCATTCTGGATCTCCTAGTGTCAGCTGCTCTGGAGAAATCTAAGTTGCCTCTTGTCTGTCAGTGCTTACTATCAAGATTACTACTAGAGTTCTTATTGAGAGAAATGATTCTTCACAAAAATGAGCCTGCTTTGATAATGCATTCAGTTTCTTGGGACTTTTAAGGCACTAAAAACCCTTTGGAGACATCTTAAACCCCCACATTAGTGATTCTCAACCCAGGTTGCACCTTAGAAACTTTTTAGCTACAATGCTGAGATCCTATCCTCAATCCATTAGATCAGAATCTCTGGTTGCATGGGGGTCTTTCAATATTTCTTAAAGTTCCATAGGTGAGGATTTGATAATAGACTGCCACTTTCTTAAATCAATAGCCTATATTTGCTTTCATTTTACTTGAGATTTTTGTATGACAAAGTTCTCCTAAGGCTTCTGAATTTCACCCCTAATAAAATCAAGGGGGAAGGAATCCAAAGAATATTCAGAAAGTCAAGGCTTCTAGCATGGGCACATCTACTTTGAAAAAGTATAAATTAAAGCCAAGCATAGGATACCAGCTCTAATAGTTAAGTGTTAACTATCTGACTGAAGGTCACTTCCAGCTGTGAAGCACAAATGAACTAGTCCCCAACTAAAAGTTAACATCTTTAAATTCTTTCTCAAGTGCTCAGCATGAAATAAATCCAGGGCCCCCACCCACCAGACCTAGTGAATCAGAATCTCCAGAGGAGCTAGAGAAACCACATGCTTAACAAACTTCAGGTGATTCTATACTGTTGGCAGATATTAAAAGAAGAGTTAAGAAATTTTGGAGATGGTATAAAGATAGTAGTTAACCCCTTCATGCTTAATTAGAAACCTGTTATTTTCTCATGACTCACTGGGATTACTTTTGTTAAACAGTACTAATATATGGCAAAATATCAGATTCAAAATCATCTCTGCTCAGATTGTGTTCTTTTTTGCCAGTGATATTCCATTTGGAACCAGGAGGGGGAAAAGAAAGTGATCAGTATCATTTCATAGTTCAGTTTTAAGTTTCTCATATAAGTCCTCTTGGTCAATCATGTCTGTGTGCCCATTCCAGCGATGATAAGCAAGGAGAGCGGCATTGTGGGCTGCAATGGCACTCATTTCCATGGCACTTGCTGCACACTCTATGCCATTGAGGTAGTAAAGTCTATCGTGGAGTATGATGGAGGGGCATTTCTCTGGAGGCTTATAGCGAGGATATGCAAGCCATGGCTGCTTCACAGCATAATCATAAGACAAAAAGAGCTTTAATATTTGTTCTTTAGTGAGGATTTCTTGAGAAAAGATCTTCCAAACATGCGCCCTTTCTGTTGATGGTTGAGGATTATCCTTTTCTGTTACAGAGGACACAATCCCAATGCTATTAATGAACAAATCTGAATTATCAGTGGTTAAGATTGTACTGAGATCAAATTTGTCTAAGGCTCTAGAGCTAAAAAGAGTTGAATTCAGTTGCCCCTTAATTAAAGTTGTCACTATATGTTGGTAGTACTGATGGAATTCCTCAATTGGAGGATCAAAGTTGAGAAAAGTTATGTTGGACATTTTTCGATTCAATGGAGTGGCCACCAAGACGATATCATAGATGTCTGAACGTGTCTCAGATCCAATTTGGTAGACCACTTCATACATCTTTGTGGGATTTCCTAGAGGAAAGAAGCATTCATGTTAGTCTTTCTAGCACACTATACTTTATACCTTCCAAAAATAATTATGTTAATAGTTTATAAAGTAGAAAATAGTTAAGGTATAATTCTAAGGAATTAAAAAGACGTTTAGGGGCACAGGGGGTGGCTCAGTCAGTTAAGCGTCTGACTCTTGAATACCATGTCAGTAAGTAAAAAATACAGAATTTTTACTTTTAAGAATGAGATTATTCTTTAATTCCAAGGAGACATGCCACTGTACTTGAGCGCATTTGGGAATATTTCTGTGTGGCACAACATACACACAATTTATAATTCCATCATTTGGAAATGAGTGCAAGATGACAGAAGAGTGGTTTTTCTCCCTGAGCAATTATTTTCTAGAGGGGAAATAAGGAACAATAAAATAGAATTTCAGGCTCACCTGTCCGCTTGGTCCTTGTTTTCTCCTCTATGTACATTACTGAGCCAGTTATAAGGTTGCTTTTGGACGCACGAAGGAGCCCTGAGCAAACAAGTTTATTTCCACCTTCTACTGCCCAAAGGCCAGAATCCGCACAGGACATTGATACTGCCCCTGTCAGTGGTAGGGAAAAAAAAAAATGTATTTTAATTCTGACTCTGTAAAAGTCCCTCTACCTACTTTCTCTTCCCAATTCAGGTGAGTTCTACTCCAAATGTCTCCAGACATTGCCAAATAGCCCCTGAGGGCAAAATCTCTATGAAAGCTAAGGACTCTCTCCCCCTAAAAATGCACAGATCTACATATACACAATTTTGCCAACAATGTCTGAGGTTTCAGAAAAAGGTAAGTCTTCTCTAATTCATAGCCTAAAGTAAGGAGTCACCATACATCAGGTAAGCCCTTTTGTGAGCTAATATCCATAATATTCCAAGCCTGGGCTTACCCACAAAGCCATTGATGTTCATGCTTTGGCCATAATTGACCCTCATGACAGGAGCAACAATTTCATTGAGGAATTTCTCAGAGAAGCCTGCTTTCTGCAAGGTTTCAAGAAGTGTTCGGTTAAGCATTCCAAGGAATTCGTCCCCTCCAAGAGAATGTAGTAATTTTTCTACGCTACTGAAGGCATAGTCATGAGACTGGTAGCGGTAGATCCTTTTGAAAAGAAGAGGAATAGCCATTAAACACCAAACAAGATGGGAAGGGAAATTGCATCATAAGATTCAAACTTTTCATATCTCCTTCTACTGAACTTCTACCTATCATGTAAGATGCACCTCAGTCACCATCTTCCCTGGGTATCCCAGAAGTTCTTATCCCCATCCCTACTCCCACCTCCTCTGGAAGTACACTGTCCTTGTATACTCTTCTGCATTAATAAGGTCACTGCGAGCACTTTTAAAGAAGTGGGTATGTCATATGTCTCCTTCAACTTTTTATCTTCCAGCAGCAGTTAAACATTTCTAAAATTAAACTTTATCTTTCCACCAGGCTTGATCCTCTCCACCCACCCCCTATCCCAGCCAAAATGTAGGCTGGGATGTTCGTTCACTGCTAACATCCCACAAGTCATCCTCAGTTCATCTAATTCCAAATTTAAATATTTTCACTTCTGCTTCTCCCATCAAAAAAGAAAACCTTACCAGTCTTCACAACATCTCTCTTCATTCTCATTTCCCTGATCTTAACTCAGGATTTATATTCAGACTACCAAGCTGAATAACTGATCTACCTACCTGCTTCCAGTTTTGTTTCTTTGAAACATTTATGAATCAGAAACCTAAAACACATCTTTTGTCATCAGCTTATGCAAAAAACAACTTGTGGGGTGCCTGGGTGGCTCAGTTGGTTAAGCATTCGTCTTTAGCTCAGGTCACAAACTCGCGGTTTGTGGGTCCAAGGCCCACTTCAGGCTCTGTGCTGACAGCTCAGAGCCTGGAGCCTGCTTCAGATTCTGTGTCTCCCTCTCTGGTCCTCCCCTGCTTGTACTCTGTCTCTCTCTCATAAATAAAGATTTAAAAAACATTTTTTAACTTCTTACTGCTGCTTAGTAAATAAACTCCTGACCAAAAAAAAGGAATGTATTTTAGAGCCAAATTCATCAAGTCTAACTGCCTTTGCTCTAACTGCAGACAGAGAAACAAGTAAAAGAACTCAAAGTCTCATGACAAGTAGAAGGCTCAAGCACAAGCTGCCCCCTGTGCCCTCAACCACACACTTACCCTCCACTGAACAAACCTGACCCATTCACTGATACCTGAAAATGCTCTGTCTGCATGTTGCTCCAACACTACATTAGCTCTTCTCTCCAACCAGAACACACTTCTTTCAGCTTGAACCCCACCTGCTCTGCAAAGTTTTGCCCAACTTCCCAGTTCACAGTACCCATGCCACTCATTCAGCACTATTACTTAATTTTTAGAAAATCCCACCTGATATTTTCTTGAACTTCACGGACTTAAAAGAATATCCACATAAATTAGTTGATGCTGACTTCAAAATGTTATTTTTCAAGTGAAAAAATGAGAAAAGTTATTTTTCAAGTGATACAAAAATGAGAAAGGATTCCTCTCCCTCAAGGAGCATACAGTTAGGTATAGGTAATAAGGCATATGCGCAGATAAGTAATGAAACAAAGGAAGAAATAGGTGCCAAAGAAAGATCTCTCTCAGTGATCCCAGGAGGAGAATTTTTACAATTTTCTTCTCTCAAAGTTGTAAAGTTTTTGAGCAGGGACAATGTCACATCCATTTCAGTATTACCTCCTATCTACCAGTGAGTATAGTATATAAAACATTGAATACATTTTTGTGGGAAAAATTAATACCAGTGCCCAAACTGAGAAACAAGTCACTCCTTCCAACCATATCAATCCCTAGGAACTTAAAAAAAGTAGAGGGTGAAAACACGGAGTTCTCACTTGAGAAAACAGACTGAGACAAAAAGGGATTCTCAGTAAGATTTAACAGCTGCTTACTCATCAGAAACCATGAAGGCCAGAAAGTAGTGGGTCAAGGTGTTGGTAAGGCTGGTTCCTTCTGGAATTTCTGATGGAAGATTCCATTTCTTGCCTTTTTCAGTTTCTATAAACCACCTGCATTCCTTGGCTTGTGACATCTTCCTAGCATCATTCCAACCTCTTGTTCCCATCATCACATTTCCTACTACTCTGATCCCCCTGCTTCCCTCTTACAAGGACTCTTGTGATTACACTAGGCCCACTTAAATAAGTGAGAATGACCTCCCCATTTCAAGATCCCCAATGAAATCATTTCTGCAAAGTCCCTTTTATCATGAAAGGTAACACATTCACAGATTCCAGGGATTAGGGTATAGACATCTTGCAGGGGCAGGGAGGCATTATTCAGCCTACCACAGGGGGCTACTCCATCGATACAAACAAGAGTTAATAGTGCCTTGCATCAAAGTGTAGCAGTGATGTTAGTGAGAAGTGATGGAATTCTACATACATTTTAAAAACTGATAGGACTGGGGGACCTGGGTGGCTCAGTCAGTTGAATGTCTGACTTCAGCTCAGGTCATGATTTTGTAGTTCATGGGTTCGAGCCCCACATTGGGCTCGCTGCTGTCAGCAGAGCCCACTTTGGATCCTCTGTCCCCCTCTCATGCCCCTACCCCACCTGCTCACTCTCTATCAAAAAATAAACATTAAAAAAATTAATAAAATTTAAAAACTGATAGGATTATAGACAGACTGGATTTGGGAAAGGAGAGAGAGAAAAGAGTAAAACATTCAAAATATTTGTTAGGAGTAAGTGAAAGGATCAGTCTCAGGTCAAGAAATGTTAAGGGGCACCTGGGTAGCTCAGTCAGTTATGCATCTGACTCTTGATTTCCCCTCAGGTCACGATCTCCCAGTGTCTGAGATTGAGCCCCACGTTGGGCTCTGTGCTCTCCCTCTCTCAAAAAGTAAACATTATGTTCTTGATTTATTGGAAGAAACAAATGTAGGATGCATGGCCCTTTGAACAACATAAGGATCAGTGCTATATATTTGATGTGTAAGCAAATACTAAAGACCAGAGAGAGGCAGTAATTCAAGGAAGTCTGGTAATTGTTTTCTAAATTTGAAAATAGTAGGGGCGCCTGGCTGGCTCAGTCCATAGATGATGTGACTTGATCTCTGGGGTCAGGAGTTAGGGCCCCACACTGGGTGTAGAGTTTACTTAAACAACAACAAAAAAGTATAATCTATGTATCCCATCACTGGGTCTTTTTCACAGTACTATAATATCCAGAATTCACTTTAAAAGTGATTTCTTAATTTCTCCCAGGGCAATTCTCTACATGCCAAGCAAGCCACGGGTAAGAAAACTAACAGATATAGGCAAGTCTGCATCTGGTGCCATCTGAACTTGATTTTCCTGTAGAGCATGCAGCAACACGCCACCTACCTTCTCTACAAAGTTACTGGCTATTTCCACCCAAGTCCTATATATTTTCTTAGTTACTGGTTTATTGCTTGTCTACTAGAACGTATATTCTTTGAGGACAGGGATGTGTTCTAGGTTCTACATCCACAGGATCCAGAATAGTGCCTGGCACATAATTAGGCAGTCAATATTTGGTGAATGAATGAAAGATTGCTACTTTAAAATAATCTGCACTGTAGCTGACCTTAATGTGCCCACTGGAAAGGTGTTCAAGGAATCATCCCAACAGTGATGTTTAGAAAGAGAAATCCCCAGGGTGCCTGGGTGGCTCAGTCAGTTGAGCTTCCGACTTCGGCTCAGGTCATGATCTCGCAGTCTGTGAGTTCGAGCCCTGCGTCGGGCTCTTTGCTGACAGCTCAGAGCCTGGAGCTGCTTCAGATTCGGTATCTCCCTCTCTCGCTGCCCCTCCCCCATTCATGCTCTGTCTCTCTCTGTCCCAAAAATAAATAAATGTTGAAAAAAAAAAATTTTAAAAATAAACACTAAAGGAAGAAAGAGAAATCCCCAACTACCCTAAGTTAAAAAGCTAGAGTGTATTTATCCTACTCAACCCTTAAATCTGTCCTTGTCAGTACTTAATCATATAACATGTAATTTTACCTTTTTTAACAATTTTACTACATTGAAACATTCATAGTAATGAAATATCATTAGCACGTACAAGCTGAATTTCTCCAGCATCTAAAATTGTAAACAAGCATAAAAATTAGCACAGGCCAATGGCCTTGGGAAAAAGGCTGTGTCTTTCAAAGTTAGACCAGTTATTTTATTTTTCCTAATTACCAAAACAATATACACAGAAAAGTTTGAAAATACAGAAACACTTAAAGAGGAAAAAGTGGAGGGGCACCTGCGCGGCTCAGTGGGTTAAGCGTGCGACTTCGGCTCAGGCCATGATCTCATGGTTCAGGAGTTTGAGCCCTGCATCGGGTTCTGTGCTGATAGCTCAGAGCCTGGAGCCTGCTTCAGATTCTGTGTCTCCCTCTCCCTCTGCCCCTCCCCTATTTGTGCCGTCTCTCTCTCAAATATATATAAAAATATTTTTTAAAGGGGGGGGTGGGGAGTGGCACCTGTATTCTCACTACCTGAAACAGTGCTGGAATTTAGTATCAATTTAAATTCTTGGGGCACACAGCTGATACTCTGCCTCAGGCTACTGGCTCACTGAAACATCATGTCACAATTAAAGTTCATTTAAGTTTTGTGGTCCTTTCTACCAGCTCTTACACACATTACCTCATTCATCCATACAATGTCAGCACAGTGCAGAGATTAAGTGTGAGAACTCTGGAGCCAGAATGCCTGGGTAGGAACTCCAGTTCCACCACTCACTAGGTAAGTGTACTTGCACACTTGAAACCTCTGTGCCTCCACCTTCCATATCTGTAAGAAGCTAATAACTATACCTGAGAGAGGTATCATAAGAATTCAAAGCATTAACATTTGTAGAGGATTTAAGAGTGTGTGGCAGAACTAAATAAGTATTTGCAAAATACAGTCGGAAGCAAAAATTATGCTTAATTTTCAAGTGGATAAACGGTCTGCATACTTTATATAAACCATTTGTCTAACAATCTTACAAACAGACCTTAAAATTAGGTAGAGAACCGTTTCAAGAAATTAGAATTTCTAAAGACCATCTAACTAAAAGGTCTTAAGTTAAATGGAAGGGGAAAAAATTACCTCATAAACTTGTCCAATATATCCTCTACCCACATGTGCATTCGGAGGGACTGAAATCCATAGTGCCAAATTAGTTTAATCATGTTAATTATGAACCAGCTGCTCTCCTCAAACACCAGAGTCTCTCCATTATACACCCCCATTAGGCCACCAAAGCCCTGAACAGTAGAGAGACCTGCAAAAACAGAAAGGGTTGGCTAAGTCAGTGGTTTCTGTGTTGACCAAATGAAAGAAGGTAATCTGAAGCTATCAGGGATACTCTGAAGTGAGTGAATTCCAGGTTTCCCCCAGTTCTCAGAAAACATATTAAAGGAGCTCTATCTTTAGAACAGCATGTAATACACTGCTCATTCATTATATTGTCCAAAAGCAGATATCTAAACGATGGGTCAGATGCTCATGCAGATATGTCAAAATTAAACTGGCTATTTTTAGTTGCAAAATACTAAAAAGTGAAAGGAAAATGCCAGAATACCAACTGAATTCAACTTCCAAACAAATGTTAGACAGGAGTATGACCAGCATAAGTTGCTCCTGGCATACATTTGTCCTCAGGAAGGAAAGAGAGACCACAGGAGATGTGGAAGGCAGCAAAGAGAAAGGAGGCATCCCCATTCCTGTGCAAATCCTATTTTGCATAATTGGGTATTTCAAATAACTAAAAGGAGGTATAAATTACACAATATTCCCTGAGCAAAGGGCCTGCAGAGGCCTGCTAGCCTTTCCTCACAACCTGTCTAGCTCCTCTGGTGGCAGGGAAGTAGTCATATGTTCCAGGTTCTAGGCACACGTCTGCACCCATGCCTGTGTGAGTGACTTTAAGCCAGACATTTCAAACTTTGGGCCTCATTTCCCCAGCTGTAAAATGAGTACACAAGGTTTCTACGGACTCAAACCATTCTTTGATTCTTCAGCTTGAACCCAGAGGTTTAAGAACTAAGAACAGCAACCATCCCCACCCCACCCC